GGCCTTGGTATTTTTTTTGGTCATGTTTTCCGTTTCAACAGCTTAAATTAAAAGCATTATAAGGTTTTTGCTCTGTGTGAATTAAACATGGTCTTGTTGTCAGTTTGCTTGTCTTGTTTGTCCACAGATTCGACTGACACACGGAGACAGACAATCAAGAGAGTCAGTCAAGTAAAAAATGGCACTGCACAAAGGCTTTGATTCTTTATTATTAAAGTTGGATCCGAGAGGAAAGTTGCTTGACAGGGACACAAAGCATCTGACTACTGTAGCTGCCAGTTAGCTCAGACGGCGCAGTTTTTGGCTGCTTATCTGTGTGTGTGTGTGTGTGTGTGTGTGTGTGTGGGGGTGTGTGTGTGTTTGTGTGTGCGTGTGTGGTGGCTACAGATACCATCCCTGTTTGGGATGATATCTGCAAGCTGAGAGCAGGATCTCAGGATGACAGCAGTCACATGCAGGGAACCATGAGACGTAGTTGTTAGATGATAGACATCCTTATTGCTTTGGCTGCTCTCCACATATAAACAATATCAGGCCATTTGTTGCCTAAATTTCTTTGTTAACCTGGTTTAATGCATACAACATGGCTTGTAGGACCCAGTTCTAGGATATTTTTTTGAATATATATATATATTTTTTACACTTGTGCAAGCTTGTGTGAAGCATGGAGAAGAAAACAGACCGATTTGTTACAAGAGGCTCAGTGACAGAGAAATAGATTCCAGGAGGAGCAAGATTGTAATGAATTTTTAAGAGCGATTGCACTCAGTATAGCTACTTGCACATACAACTGTCACACAGATACATTTACATACACATAAATATGTAACAAATACATCTCTCACATACATGTGAAATGCACATGCACGCTTGTATTTTCCATGCTCAAACAAAAGCCCAGAAATCAGCGCTGACTGTGCCAGCGCTGATTCCGGTTTCTGTGGACAGCTGCAGAGAAGGAACGACAAAAAGGTTTTACTGGTCCTGTGTTTGGCACTTGCCGATGTGTCCTCGTTTTACAAAAAACAGCAGGAGACAGATTGCAGCAGAAGCCAAACAATGTCTGCTTGACTTTTGCCATGGTCTTTTTTTAGGCTAACCCCGACTGCAATTAGCATTCAGCGTCAGTTCAGTTTTGTTCTTACATGGAATGAGAAAATCTACAGATGTTTCATTGAAAAGTTTATACAGGCTTAACTATATACAGATGTCCCAATAATATTGAAGTCGTTAACAACCTTTCTACAAAATTCATAATGAATATTTCACCTGATCAATATTGGCTCCCGGGACAGATTTGGTTTAATTGAAATGTGGAACGAGCCAGTTTCTTCCAGAGAAATGTTTTATGGTCCTGTCCTATGGACTGACACTCTCCAGCAGACCTTTTGGGTACCACCATCTTTGACTTTCAGTAGGTTTCTGAAAATCTGGACTGATTTTAAGCTAGATTTAGCTGACAGGATGAACCATTCAAAGGTTCTACTTTTGTCTCTCCCAAAAGTCTGGAGGTTTATCAAGATTTTTGGGAGGCCAATGTGAGACAGATCTTTCTGCTCTTTTTGATCTGCAGTGGCGCTGATCTTATTATGCACTTACACAGGTGATTTTGTGCTGTCTCTTTTTTATTGCTAAATATTGAACACTGACTTTGACTCAGGAGAACCCTGCAGAGCTTTAGATGTTGTGGGCTTCTTGTGACCTCCTGGATGAACAGTCAATGTGCTCTTGGTATATTTTTGGTTTACCAGGGCTGCATTTTCTCTTCAATTGTGAATTATAACCCTGATTTTTCCCAAAGTCTTATAAATGGATTTGAAATATGTTCTGGACTGTTAGATGCCAGTGACTTCAGTATCAAAGCAGATGCATTCAGTTGGGATGCATGAATTTGGTCACTTACGTCGCTCACCAGGCTGTAATGCTTTAGGGCAAAGGGCATGGGGGTCAACATTGTGATGACAACAATAATTTTTGACAGTGAAGCTCCAACAAGCTCTAACAATGAACAGCTTGCTACATGAAGCAGAGCAGGGAAAAGAAAATCTGTGCTTCTGTGGTGTGTGGGGGGTTACATCATCTCCGTTGATAGTTAGACTGGAGCATGCAGATACAGTCTGTGACACATTGGGGAGGAAGGGAACTTATAACTCTGTCGCTGGCTTGCAGGATTGTGTACTGAATCACATGCAGTACTATGTTGTACAGACATGCATTTGTAACAAAACAAACAGAAAATTCTTGTCCTGCTCACTATGTGCCCTTGCTTTTTGCTTTAGATAGTAAAAGGCTCTTTTTCTTTTGCAGAATCCACCACTGGATTGCCAGCCAGTTCTTATTGATCGTCAAAATGAAACTACAGCGAAATAAAACGAAGGCTAAGAAACTGTAATTACAAGGACTCTGTAAAGACCATTCTTCTTTGTTAATTCAAAAGTGTTTTTTTTTATTGTACTGGTCTCTTTTTTTGTCTTTTCTTTTTGGAAGCATGGTTTTCTGAGACTCCTGGGCCAGATTCATCTTTTAAAAGGAGATATATCCCACAGGTGATAGATCAATGCTCTTCTTGATACAGCAGTGCAGCAAAGGAAACTGCAACTTGAAATCTACTTTCCAGAAACCATCACGACTCGATGTTAATCAATTATGTGTAAAAACTATGATGAAACTACCAACATTTCAACTCACAAAATTCAGAAAACTGTCCGACGTCTAAAAAGATCGCCTTTTCAAGAGCACATCCCAGCAGAATGCAGGGATTTTCAAGTATCTGGTCATGAATATGGATGAACTCAGATGGCATGCCCTACTATCAGCTAAGTGAGGTGATGGCCCTATATTCTCACACCTACTGTTTTCTAGTTCATGGAGGCAGGGTGGTGCAGCGGAAATGGAATAATACCATCTTTAATGTTTTATTCAGCTCCTCTCCTGTTCAGTACAATAAGCCATTAAGAGTGCACAACACCTCCTGTTAGCACTGATTCCTCTTGCACTCCTGCTGCTCTCCTTCCTCTCCAACTTCCACTTGTTTCTTTCATGCAATTACCGCTCTGGTCTTTGTGAATAATAAGTTTGGCTCCCAATTAGTAAAATCACAAGAAATACGTCAAATATTTTGTTTCCCTGCAAAAACTTCACACAGTGCCATCTTGACTGCACTGGTCTTGACAGGAATTATGCTCAATTATTCAAATACCTAATATGGCAGAAATAGTGATGTCGTAAAAATAAACATGTCCAAGTGTAAGTCCTGAAGCCACTGTGACTGTATAAGCACCTGGCACTTGCTCCCTAAAGCTTTTTCAAAAAAAAATTTCTGCTCTGGTAGAGCAACTACTAATGAACAACAAACCTTGGATCAAGTTATAACTGTTTTAAAAAATAAAAATCTTCAGCATACACACAGAGGTGTCTGTTTTTTGTGGGTGTGTGGGGGCTTTCCCTTTAAGAGGTGCAGCCCAGCTGCATGTCATATGGCTTCGGCCAGGAAGCCAGGCTGAGAGTCGTCCACGTGTTCAGTCAGTCCAGTCCCATCTGCATACATCTTTGCCCTGATGAAGCATTGTGGGTAGGTTATGTTTAATATATTATTGCACATCATTATTTTTTTACATAATTTCTGGTTTGTTGAGGTTGATGTTGAATATTTTTGAATGTTGATTGTAAGTTTGCACTACTTCGCTAATTCATTTGGGACAGTATGTAATTTAGTTACACTAAATGTATATGTACATGTTTCTAAAAAAGAATGTAAAAGTTTTTATTTCTAATGAAACACATTAGAAGTAAATTAGTTTGAAATAAAATTCAGATGGAAGGAGAGTATGGATCCTGTCATGTGTCAATGGTTCAGACTTGTTGAAGTGGCGTCATGGTGTGAGGGACGTTTTTGTGCCCATAGCACCACTTGAGCATCGTTTAAACATGATGCAGCTGTGATCATTAAATAGTGCTACTTAATGTCCACAGTGTACCCACTTAATGGTGGTTACTTCCAGAAATATAATGCATGATGTAATCCTAAAAAAAAACCCCAAATCATCTCAACGTGATATCATGAACATGACAGTGAGTTCACTGTACTCCAACAGATCTCAGTCTAAACAGAAAACTACAATGGGGACAAAGCTTGAAAAAAGAAAAAAAGATTTGATATAGGTCACAACATACCAGTTGCCTGCATTATGTGAATTAAGTATTAAGATCTCTGTGTGTAAAAATGCTTCTTCATCAAGATTCCATGAAAAATGAAATAAAAGTTATAAAACAACAAAATTATGCAATTTCTGCAAAAGTGTTAGGCTGCTCATTCATGTGTTAGACATATTTGTAAAACATCTTATAGTGGAGCAAAAAAAAAAAAAAAAGAAACAAGAGAAACAGACTTGGGTTTTGCAAGAGATGACAGACATAGATGTCAGTTTCATTGTATTCATCATCAGGTGTGTTTACAAATGTGCTTACAGTACACATCTAACAAAGAGTCTCTCACTGTTAGTGCAGCTAACAGCTTCACATTCTGACACCTACTGAAAAGCATTTTATCACACAATTTCTACTCATAAAGCTCTCTCACATATTATATAACATCTACTAAAATATGTGACTCATGGCACAGTTGGCCTTTTGCACGGGCTGAGATATTGACACATATCTATTGTGAGTAAACCAGTGCAGGAGAGAGCAGTCAGAGTGAAATATACGTGAAAACAGTCTGATGCACATGATAAAGAAACAAACAAAAAAATCCTCCTATTTTTGCTAGAGTTAAATAATAACCCAGCTGTAGCTTGAAGACTTTTTTTTTGGCAGTTTTCTGATTATATGTGGGTATATGTATCACAAGAACTGCATATTTCATAATAAAAACATCTCCCATCATAAATCCTATTGGTAAACACACAGCAATTTGCTGCATTTTGGTCCTTCATCACATTTTCAGGTTATTATTTCAACAAACAAAAAACAAAACAAAACAAACAAAACATGAAAACACGACTCATCAAATGATTTTATTCCAGTGCCTGCATATTATAATTCTCATTAATAGAATAAGAAACATTACCACTCTTGGCTCAGTGCAGATAAACACTATAAATACAAAACTCTTCTTTTTAAAACACAAGTTTCACCTGCTGCTATTGTTAAAGAACACACACTGCTTTTTTCATAGATAAACTATCTGATTTCAAGCCCACACTCCACGGTTGTTGATCTCACGGCACAATTGCTTAAAAAAACTGTAACTCCCCCACGTCTCAGACGGAAATCTTTCCAAAACAGGTTCAGAGTGGTTAACGCTGCTCATTGTAAAAACAAATAAAAAGAAGAAAATGAAGAAAAAAATAGTTTTTACTTTTTTTTCACACTATTAAAACCAAAATGCAGATCCAGTCTTTAAGTTTACATACACTTATCTTAGCATCAATATCGTTAATCGCTTGTCCCCACCTAGTCGGCGTGACCTGGGGCCAGGCAACGTTAAAAAGCGGAAAAGAAAATATTGTCAGCTGCACCTGACAACATGGTTCAGCTGATGATATGACAACTTCCCTTTTCCCCCAATTCTATGTGAGTGACGTAAGGATCATCCCCTGATATTTTACATCATGACCAATGACTCTCAAAGTTAGTACAAAGCGACAGAGCCATTTCGCAGTTTTTTAAAAAGAATCTGATACATATTTAATCATCTCTAATGCACTTACTGATTTGGTTGTGTCACCTGTAAAGTACTAGACTAGCGTCAAATAGATTAATTAATTAATCTTTGATTTTCTGATAAACTAAAATTGCTGCGGGCACATGGGTGCAAAGTGCAAGAATCACTGCTGATTATGATTATATTTTATAAACAAGAAATATATGAACAACTTTTGATTTTATTTTTCTAATCTGGAAATTGTCCAAATTATAGACACATGCTTAATAATATGCACGCTGTCAAATAACAAGTTGCATCTTGACAACAGACTTTATGTAGCTAATAACACACTGAAAATTGCTGGAGCACCAGTTTCACCAGAGGGAGTTTTAGTTTACTATTCAATAAATAGATGTCGACCAAGAAAGACGGCGCTGCTCTTTAATCCCTTCTGAAGTTTTGTGGTCCGAGGAGACAAAGGCTAAGCTATTTTAGCTGCAGTGGTGCGAACATTTGGAGGAGTCAGTGTGAAGGTCTGAAACTTCACACAGTCTCGGCTGTGGTGGAAATAGAATTAACGGAGAAAACAAAAACAACCTTTTTCACACAGGACCATGTAGGTTTGCATTTTTTACTCCGTTATAAAATGCATTTTGTGTTAAATTCTATTTGTGTTGTCTCTGACTATATTTAAAGGTTTTTGAAACATGGACACAACTAGAATTTCCAACATAAAATGATACCAAATATGCATCAAAACTGGCCTGGAGGTGGATAAAACAGACAAACAGGAACATCAAATTTTCAACCTGTTGTAAATTATTTTTCAATCTGATTCAAAAATTCTGAAAAAAAACAAGATGCCCAACATCAAGCGAGAATTATGCAAGAAGTTTGTTGATGGCTAGAAAGAGGATCTTCTCCAAGTGCAATATTCTAACCAAAATATGACCAAGATCAAATGTATATTTTTGAATCGGTCAACATCTGGATCTAAGAAAATCCACAATAAACAGTATATTTGTTCACTTGTGTGATAATTTAGTTTGATCAATCCAGCTTAAATATGGATTTTAAAGGGCAAAAGATGGCAATGATGAGTGTATGTAAACGTTTCCCTGGAACTGTGACAGCTCAGGATATTTCTTCTTAGTTTTTCCATAAGCTGATAGAAAAATAAGAGTCACTACTATTCTCCTTGCTAATACATCCATCCCATCTTTGTTCACTGAAAGAAGCTTTGAATTCTCTATTAAAACTGTCTGGCAGAAGAAACAACACAAGGCCATTATGCTGCAGTGACAGGTCTAATATCTAAGTATCAAACTGTTTTCCGTTGTTGGATGAATAAATCACTTCTGAAAGTGACCTTTAAGTTCCATTGCAAGCATATGCTGTAATGCATTACAAAGCTATTCCTAAAAAGCAGCACTACAGTCAAAACACGCAATACACGCAAATCAATGCAATGGTTGCATGCATCGAAAACAATCCCAGTTGTATTAGGTGCTACATGAATATGGAGGGAAGCTTGTTTTCCTCTGGCTATAGCAACCAAAATAAAATATAGAAATATTATCTACATATTGCCCTTTACAGAGAGAGCTTCTGTCACCTCCAACCTGCATTTGACATCAATACTTAGTGCAGTGGGAATGTTTTCAACAGTAGATGATCCACAGATTCTCATCAACAGTAAAACTCAGAGTCTCTTTGCTCATTTACCCTTTTTCTCCAGATTCTGATTAGGAGGGAGACATATATTGAAAACAGACCAATCCACAACACTGACAGGCATTGCTATGTTCAAAACAAAAACATTTCTTTGTTTGAAGCTATGGCAAGTCATGCAGTCAGTCGTGGCTGAGGTCACAGGGGAGTTTCTTGCTCTTAGACTTTAAAGTCTGGGCCTGAGTAGGTTTCAAGTGGTCTGAAAGTGAACCGTGCATACAGCCTGACCGTCATCAAACTCATCGCTGCATTACAGCGCCTTGCAAAAGCAGACGTACACATTCAAGCTTTTCGTGTTTTGCCATGTCAGAACTGTAACATTTACATTTTATCAAGGTTTTATATCATTAATCTGTACAAAGTACTGCATAATTGTGAAGTAGAAGAAAAACAATGGATGGCTTTAAAAACTGTAAATGAAACAGAGAAGTGTGGCATGCACATATACATACATTCTGTACTGGTGTCAAGACTTATAAATAGTCATATCCAATAAATCAGCACATTTTTAAGTTGAATTTTTCAACTTTCACTAAGAAAGTAGATTAATTACACACAGACTCATGTTCCCAAGCTTTTATTTCTATTAATTCTGAGGTTTTTTTGTGCTTTCAATGAATTAAGGCATGGCGTTTTAGAAACGAACTTGAGACCAATAGAAAAAAAAAATATAGAGAAATGTGAACTTAATTAAAAGTATGTTCAACGCTTTAAGGTTTCCAACAGAAACACATCCGAACACATTCTCTAATATACTGAATACTAAGTTCAATTGCATCCCATCAAATCTGACTAAGCTTGAAGTAGTTTGAAAAGAAAATCAAGCACATAGAGAGAGTTTTCCCTTCTGGATGTGTGTAGCGGAAAGTGACATGGCCCACAGGACTTGAAGTAGTTATGCTGAGGAAAAAGATGTCAGAGTTTTGAGATCCTCCAACTCAGAATATTATATTAAACTTGTCATAAATGCTTTTTTGATTGTGGTTTTAATGTAAGAAGATCGGACAAGGTTCAAAGTGTACGAATACTTTTGCAAGGCACTGTATTAGAAACACAAAGACATAAAGGATCATATCCAGACTCAAATCACTGTCAGAACACCTGGATCACCACTAATCACAGAGTTATTAGTACTCCTGTTCTGTGGCGATAAACTTCATGATTATTACCAGTCTGGGTAATGCAGTGACATCAGTTTAATTTATGATTGTGGTTCACAGAGGAACTACGTGGTAATCCTCAGTTGCAAGTCTTCTGAAGATCGTTCAGGCCGTTCAACAATCAAACACAACGTGCTGAATACACCTCGAACACTGAAATGAACACACCGTTATTCCCTACATACACTCACTTTAGATATGTGCATAGATGCCCATGACACACACCTATACACACACACACACGTACGCAAGCAGAGACACTGCAGTAAATCTGCACTACTTTCTGGTACGAAGTCCTTTTTTTTCCAAAGTAGTTTCTCCCAATCTGTCTTCGTTGCTTCTTCTTTCCCGTGTGGTCTGACTTACTGCTGGTGTTGCTTTAGGCTGAAAAACAAAACACAGGAAAGAATATGTTAGTCTTGTTCTTCAGATTTGACAGGACCTGGCCTTTTTAACCGTAGGGTGCATAAAACCCAGTGGAGTGAAAGACCTTACCTGGTCCTTTTGAACTAATCCTATTTTTCCGTAAGTCCATTTGACATTTTAAATCCAGAACAGATGGCACAATAAACACAGTCATCATTAGTATTTTAACAAGACAAACATAATACTGCAATTCTACATTGCCGCTACTTCTCATTACTTGCTTCACTTAAAACAAATCCCCTTTACTGCAAAGTGCAGCTCGGCAATATGCGAAACATTAACCAATACTCCTTCTCCACTGTCTTCTCATAATTACAGTCATCTGTTATGCCCGCTATCTGGCTGTGCTCCAAATTAAAACAAAGAAAATAGATAGGAGCATAAACCCTCATGTTTAAAGTGCAATATTTGCTGTGGATTTGGCCTTTATCATGAATAGCTAATTGTTTTTCTCGATGACAGCCGCTGCGGTTGCATTCTGCAGGTTTATCACTGTGAAATAAAGCAAGTGGAGAGGCAAAGAAGCTGTATTCAATTAAAAGAAAAGCGATAAGTCGGACTGAAGATCATAGAGGCCATCTCACACCACACTGAGTGAGCCTTATTTTTTAAGTGTTATAGAGAACTAACATCCTGGGAAATCCTGCTGTAGATCTGTATCAGTGAAATGACGAGGGTGAGCTGGAGATGCGTGCTGTACGGAGTCATAACACAAACATATGATGTCTTCTTTATCGCTTAAGAATTATTGTGTCATAGATCCTACATTCAATCTGCGATGCTATTATCATGTCTTTTATTATGCAGCTCTGGGATCGTTTAGTCTCGGCATGAGCTTATGCTTCTCACCATTTACCTTAGTTGAAACAAATAAACAAATGTCTCCTCCATACTCTGCGGCCAATTTGAGCCTAAAATGAAAACATGAACCGCAGACAGCATGACCAATTCCACTCTTTTCATCAGTCTTTGGTAAATTGCCACCTCTTCACAGTGCACCTTCATAATCACCGTTTGTGCAAACACAGTGACAGATTTTGAGAAAGAAAGGAGAATTTGCAGGCAAACCAGCATGTCAACGTCCATCTCGGTAATGGCTGTTAAAACAGTGGCTCCTGCAGCCTGTCTGCTCTGTCAGGACCTATCTGTTGGAGTCTCAGAAGAGAGGGAGGGCCTGAGTGAGGAAGCTTGTTTTGTTTTCTGGAGGGGGACAGGTAGCAGCCAGGAGGGCTGAGAGATGAGAGGCAGAGAAAAAAAAATGTAACGCAGAAAAGAGGATGACTAGTTAAATTAAAGTTTCAATACAGTTTACGTACCACGAACCATAAAAATGTAAATGATATGGTGATAATGTCAATTATTCTCTTTTTCGAATTAAAGTATGTGGTTTTTGAAAAAGGCAAAATAACAAATAAATATATAACAAAGGGAATTTTTAATACTAGTAGATCTGCTTACAGACTGTTTACTGTGTTTGCCTGAGAAAAGTGATGCAGTAGGTTGATCATCACTGCAGACTTACTCATCAGCAAGGTAAATTCATGAACAGAAATTGTGGAGACACTTCCATATGTACAGATGGAGTTAAATTTATATTTAGCTTTATGTCAAACACAGCAGCCATTATTACCACTGTTATTTGTTTCACATTTACCTGGAAATGTTCTGTATCTTCTCTGTTTCTATGGGGACAACATTGCTTGCTTTAAAACATTACAGCACATTGCTTTAAGCATAATAAATCTGCAGTATATAGCTGAAGCTCAAATTATATTAGTGCCACTGTCTTGTAAAAGCTTTACTAATGTTGGCCCAAAAAAAACAAAACAAAAAAAACTATTCACATCTCCTAAAGTGGGAAGACAACAACAACACAAATAATCTGAGATATAAAAGAATTATACAAAGAAAAACAGAAGAAAAAAATACTAAAGCATGAGGAGCAAAGACAGAAATATAAGTCAAGCTGAGGAAGGAGGCAAAAAAAGGTCATGGTCTGTAAATGAACAGGCTGTTAATGGACTATTCCAATAATCTGTCTCTGGGTTACATGTGCGCAATGTAAGATATATGAGGAGAGTGTGACAGTGGGTTGAAAGAGAGTGCATGCGCCTCTAATAACCACCGGAGGTGTTTGTGGACATTTGAAGGTCACCTTTGCGTGCTGTGAGTGTGTACGCATTTATGGAGCCCAGGATCTTTTGCGAAGGAAAGAATGTCCTAATATGGGTTACAATGCAAACATTTTTCTCTTTGTAAGGCCCATTGTTGTGGCAAATACTCATGTTGGGCCAGGATACTCAATTCATACTCAAGCTATGAATTGAGTTTACATTAGAGTTAGGGTTAGGCAACAGAAATTAACAAAAAACGAATGGAAGTCAAAGAAAAGCCTTGTCTGTGCGCATGTGTGTGTGTAAGAAAGAACTTACATTTGGTTAAACTTGCAAGAAAATGCACCTTGAAGAAATATATGTGATTTCCACATTTATCACTTTTCCAGTCCAAGTAGCTATAAACAGTAGATGGGAGGATGGGATGATTTCAGAGGGTCAAGGTTGCAAAACTGCACCAGGCACCCATGTTCAGATGTCACTGGACCAACAATATTCTTCGATCTTATAAACTGAAGTGTCACTTAAGCTGTCCCGGGGTCTCTCTGAGCTGAACCTTGACAAGTATAGAAGCTGACAGCAGATAAATCTTAAAATACCAGTCGAGAGAGTGGAGGCTAACTCCATTATTTTTATGTGAAGTAATTAGATTTTTTTAAATGGGGAAAATCTCAAGAGTATATTTTTGGTCCTAAGCAATTTGCTTTCATAAGCATTCAGGCCCAGCAGCAAGGTTGATACTGGACCTGTTCTACCCAGTTAAGAACATTACAACTAAAAGTGGGTCTGGATGATGCAGCTCTAACATTTATTGTCTTCCCAAAGCGTTCTCATTGGCCCGAATTTTAGCAACAAACTCCAACCACTAATTCTGTCATGGTGATTACAGTTTATACCTTAGTGCAAACCACTGAATGCCCACTAGAAATATATCTGTAATAAACTTTGGATTTAGTAAAAGACTTTAGTATTTCTTTACTTTAAAGGTAAGCAGAAGATATTTTGCTACACCATTGGTTTAAGAAGATCATTTACTCTCTCCACCTCCACAAACTCTGAAAGCGAAAGCCTGTTTAATTTAGTAGATAAAAGTTAATTAAATGGACTAATTTCCAAATAACCTTAGTGAATATTATTTGAATAGTAGGCATTCAAAAACCTGATGACATTCAAAATAAGTGATGATGTTTTCACCAAGCTGAAATTACCCCTGCTAAAAGTTAATAGAAGATTTACCTGGCCAATGAGTTTAGAGTGGGAAAGGTTTAAATCAAATGCAGTGAGAATATAACCTTTAATAAATGTTTATCATCCTCCCACCACAAAACTCTGCTTTGGCATTAATTTATGTAGTGGAAATGACAGGAGTAACAAAGAATTTCCCTCTGGAACTAATACGGTCTTATCTTATATTATCCTTCTTATCGTAACTGGATTTAGGTGGATTTCTTTAGGCATCCAAAACATTTATACATCTAATCACCTATTTATTGCAATTAAGAAAAGGCAACATTGACTTACAACTTTGTGTTGTAAGTCTTCCCTGATGCGTGCTCACATTGTATGTTACACATTGCTTGTACCATTTGAAAATCATCCCAGTAATTAATAATTTATTGCTAGAGGAGATTCAAGGGGTGCACTGCAGAATGTTATTAGTAGTCAATTATAATATTTAACCCTTTTTTCTTCAAATCTTTACAATGTGTATAATATGCTACATATAGCCTGTATAGATTATCTAGTTGCATAATGTTTAGACAATACCTACTTTCTGAAAATAAATCCAAATGGTACTGCAGCCATACACAAATCTAATTATCAGTAGATGCACTTTAATCTTGTTGAAAACAAAATGTGTTTAGTGCATCCTGTATCTATTTAAATCAGTCAGAGAAAGATAAAAGCAATGCTGATTTGTGTCTTTTGAATATTATTATCTTTGATTCAGTTTAAAAAACTGTAATCTACCTTTAGTTATTAATATTTCAAGAGTAGCATGTGTAGACCCTGCATCTTTAAACAAAGTTGTCTGCCTAAATCACAATATTATTTCTGGTACACTGCACCAGAAGACATGGCCAAGATTTTCAGGGGAAAAGAAGAATTTATTCAAGATCCATTTGCCCACTAACAACAACACAATAAGATCCTTTGTACTTCACGTGCCTTTGTCATGGAGAAGCAAAAAACAAAAAAAAAAAAAATAGTTGTCTTAAAATAAATAAAGAAATAATAATATAGTAATTAAATTACATTTTTTAATGTATGACGAAAAACTTTTATTTTTCAACAAACATCCTTTACAGTGAGAATAAAACTACCTATTGTGTCAGTGGAGGTGGGTGGCTACCTATGCTTCTCAGTAAACTTCACTTGAGTAACTTTTTGGAAAACACATTGATTTAAGAGACACTATATGTTTTACTTTTACTTCTGTAATATTTTTACTTCACTTATTTGAGTAAAATTTCTGGATACATTATCCACCATGAGTAACTTCACTGAAAGAAGAACAAATATGTTTTTTTAATTATTGGTTTCATACAGAATACTTTTTACTCTTAGTCCGATAATTACATAGTGACTACTCTTGAGTCAAAACATGTTGAAGTATTTCTCTTTATAGTTCAGTAATTTTTTGTACCCTCGCCACATCTGTGTGTCAGTGATGAACACAACATTTTTTGTTCCATATTTTTCTGGTAGTTACCTTTATTTGCAACAATTCAAACATGTAATAAGTAGAGAGAGAGACAGAGAGGTCAAACATGCTACTTTTCATGCTGTAATGATTTTGTTACAATAAAAAAACATTCCAGATTAATAGGAAATGTGTCAATA